CAGCAGCATGGTGGCAGGCCATGGATCCCCCCCACTGGGATGACCAGGAGTCTTAGGGACAGAAATGTTAACTGTCAGGTCTGTGTAGTTCTGTGTTACGTGCAGCAAAACCCTGTTTTTATCCCCAAACCTCAGCAGTCAGCCCTCATGTGAATCAGCATCTGCGCAGACTGTTGCTCTCAAATCCAGGGGGAAGGGGGATGATGGCGTGAGCTGACCAGGAGCAGCGCTGGGAGAAGGCATGGGAAACAGGAGGCAGAAAGCAACACCCTGGCAAGTGCAGGCGACCACCCCAGGTAGCCCCAGAAATACCGGGGGCAGGAGGGGAAAGGAGACTCAGGATCTTCCATAGGTACACAGGGAGGGCTTGAGTCATCCCACGGGGATGCTTTAGGAAAGGGCAACACAGGAGTGGAAACACTTAGTCCCAATTCTACAGGGAAGCTCTTATCTCCACTTCAGACACGAGAAAAGCAAGGCATAGAGCATTTCCACAAGTTACTCAAGACCACAGGTGCCAGGGGATGATAGGAGACTGTGAACCTGATCTAGGCCAGAGCTCATGCCCTTTCTGTGCACCCAGCTTCCCTGAAAGGCACATGAATTCTTCTCTTTTTTTTCAGATCACACAAGGCCTGGGCAACCAGTAACAACGAAGGCAGCCTGCAGCTGGGACACAGCCCTTACCATGAGCGCTTCTAGTTTCATCCGAAAGAGGCTGAACACGTCACCCTTAGCAAAGCAAGACAAACTAAGGGCCCCGGCAACTTTTGTTCTGATGCCTGTCTTTTCAAAACCTAGGCCAGGGCCCAAAATAATGACCAGTTCCATGGGATGAGTAGGTATGCAAACTGTGGGCTTTGTGAAGAAAAGTGGAAGGTAGCAAAGCAACTAGATTGACGAAGTCTTTTGCAGCTCTGCTGACCCAACGGAGCCCATCTTTCTCCTGATTTCTCCATACTGATGAGACGCGGTGGGGCTGGCTGAAACAGGTCAGCCAGAGAGGTGGTGGTCTTATGATTGGAATATTTTCTCAGTGATTTATGCCTGGGAGGGCATGTGCATGAGGAAGAAGGAAGGAGATGCAGCGTGTCCCTCGGTCCTGGTCCACCCACAGGAATGACTGTGGGGCGTCTGCCCTTAGCAGCGCCTCCATGCTGCAGGACAAACAAGCTCCTGTCCCCAGATGTCCGCACAGCTCCTCACAAGGTCCTGAGTTGAATCCAAGAACCCCAGACACCTCAGCCCTGTGCAGATGGAGGGCAGTCACTCGGACCCGGGGGCAGGGAACACCAGGCGGGAGGAGTGGCGCTTTCCCCAGGGAGGTCGGAATCACACCTTCACAGGAGTAGCCGCTCAGCAGCACCAGGGCTCAAGCACGGCCATCCCCGGCCCTGAAAGTCATTTCCCGGGCCCCTGGGTACGCTCCTGTCGTCCTGTGGGGAAATCGCGGGCAGAGCCATGGGGCCCTTTTCAGAAACAGAGAGCACACATGGCAGTATTGTTTACAACAGCAAAATAGCTGAAAACCACCAACTCTGTGACCTTGAAGTCAGCCAGCATGTGTCTTAACCTGAAATATTCATTATTAAAAATGTATCTTAGGAAGATCTCCCCAGCTTCTGATATGCACAGATCTTTATTCACGTTCATCCAAAATGGGCAAGTCCATTCAAATGTGGGGAAGAGGACTTCTTTATACTTTTATTTATTTATTTGAGAGAGACAGAGAGAGAGCACGAGTGGGGAGGGGCAGGGGGAGAGGGAGAGAATCTCAAGCAGACTCCCCACTGAGCATGGAGCCTGACGTGGGGCTTGATCCCAGGACCCTGAGATCATGACCTGAGCCAAAATCGAGAGTCAGCCGCTTAACCAAGTCACCCAGGTGCCCCGACTTTTTTTTTTTTTTCACTTTTTAAATAATGAACAACTGAGAGGGTATCACGTTAAGTGAAGTCAGTCAGACTGAGAAAGACAAGTACCATATGATTTCACTCACATGTGGAATCTTAAAAAACCAAATGTATAAACAAGCAAACAAAAAGCAGAATCAGGCCTATAAGTACAGAGAACAAACCGGTGGTTGCTAGAGGGGAGGGGGTGGGGGTTGGGGGCAAACAAGGGTGAAGGGGAGCGGGAGATCCAGGCTTCCAGTTCTGCAATGAATAAGGCGCAGGAATAAAAGGCACAGCATTGGGAACACAGTCCCTGATCCTGCAACAGCATTTACGGGGACAGATGGGAGCTACAGCCAAGGTGAGCACAGCGTAATCACCATGCTATACACCTGAAACTCATGTAACGTGTGTGTCAACTAGGCGCAAATAGATAACTTTGAAAGAAAAAAGGATAATAAAATTTTTTTGAATTAAAAAAATTTTAATTGTGGTACAATACATATCTAATTTGCCATCCTAACCTCATCTTTAAGGGTCCAGTTGAGTAGTGTTAAGTATATCCACACTGTTGTGGATAAACAGATCGCTAGAACTTTCTCATCTTGCAAAACTGAAACTGTAACCATAAACAACACTCCATTTTCTTTTCCTTTTGAGCTTTAAAAATCCTATTAATAGACCATGGCATGCAGTAATTCATTTTCCAGTTCAAAAATTTCTGGACACATTACTCATGAAAGCTTGAAAAGAATCACCACCTCCCTCTGCCCTGAACTGAGAGTTCTCAGGAAGATGGTATGCACAGAACAAAGAAAGCAGAAGAAAAAGGTAAATGAATTTTTCATAAACAAGAGTTCCAGGAAAAAACTCTGGGAGGTTGCATTTAGACCACAAGGTCACCTTGGGATTGAGCAGCTGAGTTGTTGGGTCATCTCTGTCTTTGGCCTCATTAACTTGCCCAAAGGGACTGTGCCCACAGCAGGGCAGTGAGCAAGGTTCACTTACCCACGTGGACGAGGGGGCCCCCGGGCTGCCCTAGTCCCTTAGATGTGACTGCTGCCAGGAGGAATGCACAAAGGCCAGTTCCCCTCTGGGCAGACTGCTAAGTAACTTCTAGAACAGAAATGGCCCTAAATATTTGGGGTTGGAAATAGAGCCATTCCAAGTCTGTACTTGAAACTCACCTAGAATTCACATTGTAACTGTTGCGTCTTTGTGTTTAAATTGCCCCAAGGACCTATCTTCAAACACACACACACACACCAAGCATAACTTCACAGGGAAATATTTATTTCATGAGACTCTCACAGGGTGCCCTTTGCCGTTTACCAACAATGGATGAATTCCTGCCCACAGAGAGAAACCACGACCCTGCTCTTTCAAACAAGCAGATGGAGGCTGTGATGAGTGACACAGGAGAGCAAGTCTCCCGGCCTGGCACAAAGAGGGCCTCTCAGACACCTGCCTGCGTCTGTGTCTGCAGACTCTCCAGGCTCTGGAAAGCCCAGCGGGCCCCGGGGGCGGCAGGGGGGACCTGGGGGGACCACTCCAGCACCAACCAGCCACAAAAGGAGGCCCAGGTCCCAAATCAGGCCAGCCTTCAATATCCTCTCCGGATCAGCCTTGAAAATGCACACACCCTTTGCACCAGGGACCCTATTTTTCATAATCTGACGTAAGCACTCATCCTGTGATTGAATAATCCTGTAATTTACACAGTAATCACTGACGTGCACAATGACATAGAAACGAAGACGTTCCTCGTGTGGTTCTTTATGGAACCAAAATATTGGAAAAAACTGAACTTTCCACTGTAAGACAGATTAAAAACAGGATTTTTGTCTATAGACTAGATAAATGCACCCACAAGACAGATGGTCTCTAATAGTTTTAATGACATTAAAAAAAGTTTTCACAAGCTAGTAAGTCCAAATATATAACAAAGAATCTGTCTGGTGTGAGCGTGAGTAGGTAGGCAGATAGACCCATCTTTCTCACCAATACAGAGTTTGTGTTCTAAAAATTCATACTTGGCAAAGCAAGAACTTGGATATTACGGATTGAGAGAAAAGCAATAAATGACATTAAATGTGCTTTGAAAAGCAAGAAATGTAAGTTCACAGTGGGGGAGGGGGGTTGATGGCTACAGAAATAGCCTGATGGCTACAGTGGTTCCTGAGAGCATCAGAGCTGGGCAAACTCCAAAAATAGCAAGGCCTCACTCTCCCACTAGACAAGAGTGGTAAGGAAAGCTATAACCCAAAGCCGTGTTCCTTGTTCCTAGGGATGGACTGTGGGTGGACAGGGATGTGGAAATTCCTATAGGCCCTAATGAAGAGTCTTAGGAATGTGCTAGGAGCTAGCTTCCTGCCCTGAAGATGCCCGGGCAGGATGAAGGGGTTGCCATCTACAGGCTCCATATGGGCACAAACTCACAGATTTTGAAAGGCCAGACCAAGCCAGCCATGAGCCAGGCCAGATCAGCCTGTCCAGAGCAGACACCAGCTGGGATCCAGAGGACACACACGTGAACTCAAGCCCCCTTCTTCCTGCCCCCCTGAGGTCACACCCAGATATCATCATATGAAAATAAGCTGCGGGAAATAAAGAGGCATTTACCCAAAGACCCAGGCACCCAAGCAAAGCGACTTCAACAGAAAGAGATTGTGTATGTGGTCACATTTAAAATTAACTTCTGCCACCTCCTCTACTCTAAGTAGTGGGAGCACTCAAGGACAATTAAATAGGCTATGAAAAATTTTCTCTAATTTTTTTTTTTTTGCTTGCTTCTGAGTGGTAGCGTTGAGTGAATTTTCAGCCCTGAAACGTGCATCATCTTAAAATCCCAGGGGGCACGACCACAGTTGGCACCTCACTTTGGTACCCCCAAATATTCATGGCGTTTCCGAGTGGGATTAGGGGAGGTTTTTATTTATTTTCTTTCTGCTCAGCTAGGTTTTCGAAATATTCTGCAATAGATGTACTATCTCTTTTTTTTTTTTTTTTACAGGAGTACAAGATTGCTTAGTTTGCGGTCACCCTGGCCAGGCACCTGTTCTCCACCAGCAAACCCCTGCAGCAAGTTGGGAAGGGCAGGCTCACCTGGCAGTGGACAGCCAAGGATCTCCATCCTCATACAGATGCTCCCGTTGTCGAACCAGGACCGTGGATTGATGCGGATGTAGCGGGCCACCATGGGGACGGGCAGCTCGTTGAGGACAGGGATCTCCTTTTCACTGTTTCCTTCAAATATCTACTTAGGCACAAGGGGGAAAAAGGCGAATCTTTTAGAGCTCGATTATCAAGGGATAAAGGGTAATTCACTCATTCCATAAGATTTCACTGAGGAGCACCCACTGTGTGCAGGGCATTGAGGGGAAAAGAGAAATGAATCAGGCATGGACCCTGCCCTCAGGAAGCCCCCATCTACCGGGGTGGCGGAGAGAGGAGGAGGAGGGAATACTTTGATAATCTGGGTGAAGTCTATTAGTACCATGGCAGAGGGACAGCCACAGAGCTCTGGGATTTCAGAAGAAGAAAAGGACCAGGCAGAGCTTTAGGGAGCAGGTGGTATTTGAATTGGCCTTGAAGGAAAACTATTTAGATCTGTGGGATGGGAGGGATTCTAGAGACAAGCAGCAGGAATGACTGGAGAAGCCCAGAGGTGGGCTTCAGAAGGAACAGAGCAACTGGCCCTCTTTTCCTGGAACACAGGGGAAGTGTGTGCAGGGGGTAAGAAAGAGAGAGAAGGTTGAAAGCAGAGATGCCATCAGATTGTGGAAGATTCTGGATACCATGGGAGGAAGGATGTGCTTGAGAACCTGACAAAGAGGGTGACATGATCATCAGAACTGGCTAATCTGGAGCGAATCATGGAGTGGAAAGATGGATTATTAAAGGAAGTGGGAGAACTACTGCACCCGAGTAGCTGTGAGGGGCGCAGGCATATTTCCTGTGCCACGTGTCCCCCAAGGCTGCCACCCCCAAGGTGGATTGTGGAAGAAACTGCATCCCAGCGGCTCAGAATTTCACATTAGCTCTACATGGGCCACTTGGCACTAAGCTTCCGGGCATGGAAGCGGGGCAGGGAGGAGGGGGACATTATCCATCATCGGTTTGAGCTGACACAGCATCAGCAGACACTGATGGGGCACACATTGCCTCTCTTTGCAGGGACCCACATAGCCAGACACCAAGGGCATGGACAGAGGGAACACGAAACTCACCATGTCTCCAGATCCGTTCTTAACAGTGACCCATGTATGGCTGTCATTGCTCACCATAACCTTGTAGGAGGTCACCCAGTCACTCCTAAAAGAAAATAAAACATCATTGGAACTACACATTTTACAATGTTCACCTTTGGGGCGCCTGGGTGGCTCAGTCAGCTGAGCATCCAACTCTTGGTTTCGGTTCAGGTCATGATCTCGGGGTCATGGGATCGAGCTGCGCTCAGCGCAGAATCTGCTTAAGACTCTCTCTCCCTCTCCCTCTGCCCCTCCCACACACACACCCCCTGCCTCTCTCTCTCGCTCTCTCTCTCAAATAAATAAATAAATAAATAAATCTTTAAAACGTTCACCTCTTCAATGTAGAGGTGCAGCAATAAGGAAGAACAGCGGACCCCTGAACAACACGGGTTTGAACTACAAGGGTCCACTCACACGTGGATTTTTCTTGATAAATACAGGACAGTACTATAAATGTGTTTTCTCTCCTTATGATTTTGGAGAGTCAAAAGTTATACACAGATTTTCAACTGTACAGGGTGTCAGTGCCCCTAACCCTTGCGTTGTTCAAGGGTCATTGGTCGGTCCCAGCAGTGGACAACATTGGTTCACAGCCTGGCCCCACTGCTCACCCTCCCTGTTGCGTTGGCCAGCTAACTGACCCAACTATGTCACTGTTGATTCATCCATAAAATGAGGATCCTAAAAGCACCAAGCTTAAAGGATTAATGTGAGCGTTCGGTGGTTTAATACTCCTTAAACACTTAGGACAGTGCGTGGTACCAAGTAAGTCCTGCACGCTGGTCACACATAAAGATCTACAGACACTTACATATTTCTTTATATTTACATCGCACACGGGAATAGAGTTCCATGCAGAAAAGTAACCTCAGTAAAAATTGCAGTTGGTCTAGAAATTTCATTTGGAAAATGATTTGGGAACATAAGAAACTAGATGCCACCAACCAAAAAAATAACAGCTTGCCTGTCTAGGAGACACTGGGCTTCTCCTTGGCTGTCACAGCCATTCAGACAATCCCCCCGCCCCCAGTGATAATCCAGCACACTAGCTGGGCCCAACGCCAGACCCACCATCATGTCCTGCTGCAGAGAAATCACTGAGGTGACAACAGCCATGAATGGACCTCCCAGAGTGGGGGTCAATCTGATAGGCCATATCAAAAAAACATGGGGAAAACACATTTTGGTCTCTCAGCCTCAGCTGTTCATAACATTAACTGTTAACCAATATAGAAGATTCTTTCGGAGCATCATCCTTTTTAAAAATACTGGAACGAAACACCAATTCAGTAATCCTTTAGAACATTCTGCCAGCTGAAGCACTTGGAGTCCTTCTTTTCCTACTGTGAAATCTCCTTGGATTCAGGATCCAGATATATCCCAATACGGTTCTGAGTTTCTGAATCAGCACGGCCTAGTAAAGTTCATTTAGAAAGATGAGCTGCTTTTCTTCATTCTGGTTCATCTGACTTGTGAAAATTATTCCTAGGTGCTTTAATAGATGCTTGGAAACAAACCCTCCCCTCGAGCCTCCTCTCTTCTCTCTCCTCCCTACCAGCTTTGTCTGAATCCCCGCCAGATGCTGGAAGCTGTCAAACAACATGTTCCCCCTGGGAGGGTGAAGGCTGAGCCCGCACCTGCAGACCGAGATGCATCAAGCGCGCCTTCTGAACGGCACCTAGGCACAGCACATGTCCTCTGCACTGGAAAATATCCTCACCCCAAATACCAACCTGTGTCCCACATTCAAATAATCTCTAAAGACCTTGCAACTGCAGTCCCTTTTGCGGTCCGTTGGTCTGTGTGCCTGTGACGCCCCACAGTGATCTGGCAAGGCAGCCTGCCGAGCTGGGGGCCCATCCCACCTGCAGAGATGGAGGTGATAGCCTTAGGAAGCCTCTCGGTCAAGAGAAACACACAATAAGAGAGGGGTAGAAAGAAAAATTAAAATAAGCTGTCCAAAGAAAGGGGGAGAAAAAAAACCAAAGAAATGAAAATCAAATAATTTCTCAAACTTAAACGTGGACAAATCCACTACTTAGGTTTGAAGGGCAATTAACTGTTTACGTGGTTCTGACCTCCACTCTGGACTGCAGACATCCGTCCCTCGCTCTGTCTGACTGACCTCTCGCCACTTCTCATGTCCCAGCAACATCTCATATTTACCCCACCCCAACCGATGGGTGCATGGCTCCTGCTCTCCATCCTGACCTGGGCCAGACCGAGCTCCTGCCTCAGAAAAGGTACTGGCATCCCCCCACGGGAACAAAATCCCAGGATCCTCCGTGATACCCCACTTTCTCTGCACCCCCCCACACCTCCATTGAGACCATCACCAAATTCTGTCAATGTCACCTCCCACATTTTTCTGGAATCTACCCAACCCCTTCCATCTTCACTGCCACCACCCCAGCCCATTCTCTCGGGCCAGGACTGCTGCAGGTCCCTCTAATTGGTCTCCTGGCATTTAAGCTGCCTCCCAATCTATCCTGCAGTTAGAGACTGGTTTTTCTAATGAAGTATTATCATGTCATCACCTGCTTAAAATACCACTCCTCTCTGGTAGTAAGACCAAAATCCTCATCACATTCTGTAAGACTCTTGCTTACCTTTTGTTTTCTGGGCTCTTTCTTTCAATTCCTGATAATGATTATACTCTCTTGTCTCAGGGCCTTTGCACATACTGTTTTCATCTTCCTCCTCTCCCATCCTGCCTGCCTCTAAATCATTCAGACCTCAAACCTTATCAGATAAGGCAGGTCTAATTCTCCATTTTAGCCAATTTCTTTTCTTATATGTTCCTTTCTTTCATAGTTTAGTTCCACTTATAATTTTATACCCCTTTCTAGAATTATCTGATAGTGTATTTATCTCCCACTGGAGTTGAAGCATCTCATAGATGGAGGAAGAAGAGATGATGGCACTTTGGAGGATGCAAAAGGAAGCTGGTGTTCCTGGAGGGCAGAGCGAGGGACAAGGCAGGACAAACGGGGCTGGGTGGGCTATGCAGACCATTTGATGGGAGTGAAACTTCCTCTGCCAAGCAATAGGGGGCTGGCCCCCTTGCAGTCCACCAAGCATGGTCAGAAGTACCTCAAGACCAATTAGAAAGGCTCCTCCACTTCCAAAATTTCTGCCTTAACAGAACGTTTGAAAACCAGAGATGACCTTAGTGTCTCCCATTTACTCCCATTTACTCTAACCAACTCTCCTTTCTACCACCTTTCTACCGCTCCTGCTGAAATGAAAGTGATGGCAGAGGTCCTCCTGCCACAGGTTTATGCATAAACAGCCTTTGTTCATTTTGTCTCAGGCTTAGTTTTGTCTTTGACAATTCATACTGTTGCCCATATTATGATTTTTTTCATTCTCATTGCTGTCTAGTATACCACTCAAAGAATGGACACTTGGTCCATTTTACTACTAATGAGCATCTGAGTAGTTTCCAGATTGGGCTGTTATGAACAGCGGTTCTATGAATATTCTTGTATGTATCTGGTGGTGAATTTATACAAAATTCTGTTTGGTGTGATCATAGGGTCCCAGGATACAGATGTGTTCAGCGGTAGTAGCTTTCCAAAGTAACTAACTACTAACACTCAAACAAGCAATGTATGAGAGTTCTGGTTGCTCCACATTCCTGTCAACACTCGGTATTTTCTTCCTTTTTCATTTTAGCTATTCTGATGGGTGTGCCCTGTTATTTCGTGGTGATTTTTATTTTAATGTCCTGGATGACTAAGGAAGTTTGACACGTTGTATGTTTATTGGGCATCTGGATATCATCTTCTGTGAAATGCTTATTCAAAATTTCCCCCCTTTTTAATTAAATTGTCTTTCTTATTTTGATTTGTAAGAGCTCTTTATATATTCTAGATAGGAGTTTTTTGTTGAGTATATGGATTGCTAATATCTTCTCCAGTTTGCATCCTCTTTTTCATTCTCTTTGTGGTATCTTTTTTTAAATTTTATTTATTTATTTGACAGAAAGAGAGAGAGAGCATGCACATGTGGGGGTAGGAGTAGAGGGAGAAGCAGACTCCCCACTGAGCAGGGAGCCCGATGTGGGGCTCAACCCCAAGACCCTGAGATCATGACCTGAGCTGAAGGCAGATGCCAAATCGAATGAGCCACCCAGGCACCCCATCTTTGTGGTATTTTTTAATAAACAGAACATCTTAATCTTTACATAGGCCAATTAACCTTTGTTTTCTTTACAGTTTTCAGTATTTGTGCCCTTTTCAATACATTTTTGCCTACTCCAAGATCATAAAGATATTCTCCTAGGCATTCTTCTAAAAGCTTTATTGCTTTACCTTTTAATTTAGATCTGTAACCCACAAAGAGTTGACTATTATATGGTGTAGGTAGGGGTCAAGATACATTTTTTTCTATAAGGGCTTTCAAGTGACCTAGAACCATTTATATGATTATTTTTCTACAGCACATCAGTGACACATTTGCTATAGGTCATGTGGTAGGCATGTTTCTTGATGCTCTATTCTCTTCCATTGGGCTATTTCCTATCGGTGCTAAACCCATCCTGTCTTGATTTCTATAGCCTTACAGTAAGTCTTTATATCTGGTAGTGTACATTTTCCTCTTTTGTTTTTGCTTTTCACAGTTCCCTGGACTATTCCTGGCCCTTTGTGTTCCCATATAAATTTTAGAATCACCTTGTCAATTTCCAAAACAAGGATCTTTGGATTTTAATTGAGATGGCACTAAATATAAGGTCAGTTTTAAGGGAATCAAGATATTTCAATATTAAGTCTCCTAATCCATAAACATGGTATATTCCTCTATTTATTTAGGCCTTATATTACTTATCTTTTGCTGAATTTATTCCTAAGTAGCTGATGTTTTTGATGATTTTATAAATGATATTACTTTAAATATTATTTTCTCCTTGTTTGTTGCTAGTATGTAGAAATACAAATGCTTTTTGTATGTTGATTTTATAGCCAGCTACTTCACTAATTCATTCATTAATTCTAATAGTCTGGGATTCCTTTGGATGTTGTTAAGGACATGGCAATGTCATCTGAGCACTATGACAGT